AGGTGTTTGCTCCTGTGGGGAAAGGAACAACACTGAGGGTGCTGTTGGCGATAGCTGCACTCCTGGGATGGAAGATACGGCAGATGGACATTGTGACTGCCTTTCTGAATGGGATCATTCTGGAGGAGGTGTACATGAAACAGCCAGAGGGGCTGGATGACGGGAGCGGCAGGGTCTGCAGGCTGAAGAAGGCCATCTATGGCCTTAAGCAGGCGCCTCGTGCATGGTATCACAAGTTGGAGGAGGCGCTGTTGGCTGGGGGTTTCAAGAAGAGTGAGTGTGACCCCAGCCTGTTCCTGCTGCAGGAGAAGGACGAAATCCTCATGCTCTTGGTGTATATGGATGATATCCTTCTCTTTTCTGCATCCACTGCTTTGCTGGACAGCGCAGAGCAGATGCTGGAGATGCAGTTCAAGTGCTCCAAGATGGGTGAGGTGAAGTACTACTTGGGGATGCACGTGGAGAGAGATGTGGAAAAGGGTGTGCTGAGGTTGCACCAGAGGAAGTACTGTGAGGGGCTGGCTGAGAAGTATGGGCTGCAAGATGGGGGAAAGCCAGCAACACCACTACCTTCAGGGTTTACTGTGGAGCCATGTGCTGATGAGGAGGTAGTGGGTGAGAGTGACAGGAAGCTGTTTCATTCGATGGTTGGGTCGCTGAATTATGCTGCAAATCATACACGGCCTGACATTGCATTTTCTACATCACGGTTGGCTAGTGTGGTCTCACGCCCTAGTCATGAGCAGCTGGAAGCGGCCAAGAGGTTGGTCCGCTATGTGAGTGCTACGGCATCAGTGGGATTGGAGTACAGTGGAGTGAGGCAGCGGTTGCAGAGAGGTGCTGCAGATGTGAAGAGTGGAAAGATGCTCTTGAGTTGCTATACTGACGCTAGCTTCAACTCAGTGAAAGCGGATGGCACCAGCATTGGGGGTTATGTGTGCTTGCTAGGAGGTGGTGCTGTGAGCTGGCGCAGCAAGAAGCAGAATGAGGTGGGATTGTCTTCATGTGAGACTGAGTACATGGCCTTACACCATGGGGCCAAGGAAGTGGTATGGCTGAGGCGTTTGTTGGAGGAGTTGGGAGTTGGTCAGGAGGAGCCGACAGTTGTGTTCTGTGACAATGAGTCTGCAGTGAAGCTGGCCAAGAATGCTTGTCTGCATGGGCTGACAAAACACATAAGGCCTAAGTGGCATTGGGTGAGGAGAATCCTTGATAAGGAGGTGCGGCTGGAGATAGTGAAGACCCATCAGCAGGCAGCAGATATTTTCACTAAGCGTCTTGCGGAGGCGGATCATTGGAAGGGCATGAAGCTTGCTGGGATGAGTGTGCATTGAGTATGCATGCTTGAGATGTGGTATGGTCGATGATGGTTGGCAGCCAGAGGGGGAGATTGTTGTGTGATGTCATCATATGCTATCACATTCTGTCTGCCTCCCATCCCATGTTTTTTCAACTTGCATGTGTGGTTTGAATGTGCAAGCATTTGTGTGTGGTGTGTTCTGGAGTTTGGGAATGTGTTTTGTGTTATTCTGTCTGAGCAGGTATTTGTGATAATAGATCTTGAGAAGATCTTTCCGACGCAACAAGAATCGCTTCAATCGGAGCAAGAACGCGAAAGCTATGAAGATTCAAAGTTCATGAGCTTGCGTTACAATTGCGGCGGTTACTAAGTGAAGTTGTGGGGTGACTTTATATGGAGTTGGGACCTTTGGGGTTGGGGAAACTTGTCACTCTACTGTAACAGCTGCAAATTGGTTGGGAACAACCAAGCTAGGTTGGCAAGGGTGGCCAACTTGGATGGATTGGTTGGGAAGGGACAAATGTCAAAGTTGGGGTTCCTATAGGGAGGGAATCTTTGTGCTTATGGGGTTTCCTTGGTTGGGGACTCTCTTGGGACCTTCCCTCTCATCCCTCTCTTCCTATCCCAACCTTTCTCTTGCTCCTTCTAATTCCTTGTGAGATTCTTGAACTTTGATTGAACTCTTGAGATTGAGTTAAGTTCTCCTCCTACAGCTTACCCCCTAGTGCGTCGAAAGCCATAGCGTCGCGAATACTTCATCAATCAACGTGATTCAAATTGGGAACGGTAGCTGAGATCAAGAGCTACAACATATCCAAGTTTCGCGACATTCCAACGGCTAGTGTTTTGTCGACGTCGTTTCTTGTGAAGACGACTTTTCTGTCCAGAATTTCGGATTTATATTTTGAGTAATTCTAGCTCCTAAGTTCACCTAGACTCTGTCCTTAATCCTAACAAATCGGTGCGAAACACGGCTTTATGAAATCTGTGAATACCGAACTGAACCGAATTGATCGCAAATTACAGCGTGCTATAGAGCGTGCGGATTCTGGGATCCAAAATTTCAGGTCCTATTTGCTTGATATTCGGGTCTGTAGAAACATGCCCCTATTCACAAAATAACGTGCTGACCAATCACACACCCCCGCCCCCTACCAAACCTGCAACCGAACCCAACAAAATTTATTCATCCAACTCAGCCCCTGCACCTCGTCCAACCAATCAAAATATGCCAAGCGGTTCCAGAGCGGCTAATCCAGCTCAACCACCTCCTCGCCCCAACCACCCAGCCCACCACGCTGCACCCCACATGCCAGCACTCCAGCCCACCACACACTTCTGATCCCTCCCTTACTTGCCCCCTTGCGCCCTCTCATGCCTTCCAGCTAGACGTCACTTACAATAATAGTCCTCGGCAGTTCTATCTGCATCAGTTTCAACTCCCCCTCTCGCCTTCGCGCCCCCTAGTGAGCAGCTCCTTCCTCTCCCACAGGCTTCAATTACCACGGTCGTTCTTAGTGTGCCCTATGCTGAGGATCTCGTTTCACGATGGTCTATCGTTTCAAGCAGCTCATAGGTGACTAGTCTTGTTCACCCATGTCATTCTTATCTGCATGTTCATGAGCTAATGCGCCATTGGGGTTGAAGGCATTTGTTGGTACTTGACGTATCAATCAAACTAATGATTCACATGTGTCCTCACGATGCTTGTCTTTATCGCAGCTAGCTATGTAACTCTGTCCAACATCGAGATAATTCCCCATGTAAGTCCAATTGTAAGTCTCGCTGGTCATTTGATCGTCGGACTAATTTCACAACAATGTCTCGTATGACATGCAGAAATTTGTAGCCTACCACGAGCTATTTCCTTCGGTAAGCCGGCTTTTGTAATTGCTGTCGTATGGAAACTAATTTGATTACAATGTTTGAACCTAATGTGCAGGACTCAATATCCAGCGTCGCGCTACTTCGTTGTTGTAAGCATTGTCCTAATTGTTGGTGATTTCGACCTTGGATTAATTTCGAGATAACAAGTTATGAACGTAACGTGCAGGAATAATTTGCTTGTTGCATTATAAGTAAATCCAAACGAGGCATGCCCTAATTGTACTGAACCATGCCCGAAAGGGTACTGCAGCCTGCAAAAACGGATCCATAAAAAACACCGCCAAACGTTTGCAACAAATCATGCTGAATACTAAAAATGGTGAACATAAACTTCTCTATGCATTTACATGTTCACCGCAGAAGTTGTAGAAAGAACACCGCCATGCATTTGTAAACGAACCACGGAGATTACTGAAAAGACACCTCTAAGCATTCGCTGTCGTGAACCAAAAAGTGTTTCGGGAAATGTTGTCAAAGCATTCGCCAAGTGTTCTAATCTAAGTCCGCCAGGACTTTTCACCCACATGTTCGCAAAACGTTTGCAAGCATTTGTGCGAATGCTACGCAATCGTTTTGAGAGCATACGTTTTTTGCGATGTTGCCACCCCCCTCCATTCCCCCCATTTCACTGAATCTCCCCTACCTTGCTGAGTTCTCTTTATCTTGCTGAATCCCCCTGCCTTTCTGAATCACCCCTACCTTGATGAATTCCAACTACGTTGCTTAATCAAGCCTACCTTGCTGAATCACCCCCACCTTGCTTAATAATCCCTACCTTGCAGAATTCCCACGACCTTGTTTTCTCACTCCTACCTTGCTTAATGATCCCTACTTTGAATAATCACCGCTGTATTGCGTAATCACCCGAAAATTGCAGAATTCCCGATATCTTGCTGAATCTCCCCTTCCTTGCTGAGTTCTCTCTATCTTGGTGAATCCCCTCTTTCTTGCTGAATCACCCCTTCCTTGATTAATCAACCCAACCTTGTTGTCTTTCCCCTTTCTTGCTCAATCACCCCTACCTTTCTCAATCACCCCTACCTTTATTAATCAGCCCTACCCTGCTTAATCAACCCTACCTTGTTGAGTCCCCCCTTCCTTGTTGAATTAACCCTACCTTGCTGAATTCTCCCTATCTTACAGAATCCCCCCTACCTTGCTTAATTACCCTTACCTTGCTCAATTCTCACTATCTTGCTGAATCATCCCTGCATGCCTATCAAATTGTAGGCCTTGTTTCAAAGTGGGCAAGGAGATATTTCATTTGGAAGGTTTGCACTTGACCAATACTAGACCAAAGCCTAACCATGCTGAGACCTGGATTCTATATAATAAACAAAGCTCCTAAGTTCCATAATTCGTGGGTTTTCAAAACGGTGTTTGACTCGTGAGCATGACTATCAAATTGTAGGACCTTATTCCAAGTCAGCAAAGAGGTATTACTTTTAGAAGTTTTGCACTTGACCCGTACTAAATCAAAGCCTAACCATGCTTGGACCTGGATTCTATATCAAAAACAAAATATCCTCTGCCCTATATTCTTGGGTTTCCAAAAGGGCCTTCGACTCGTGAGCATGACCATCAAATTGTAGGATCTGTTTCCAAGTGGGCAATGAGATATTACTTTGAGAAGTTGTGCACTTGACCCATACTATACCAAAGCCTAACCATGCTGAGACCTGGATTCTATATCATGAACAAAAGCTCCTATGCCCCATATTCTTGGGTTTCCAAAAGGGCCTTCGACTCGTGAGCATGACCATCGAATTGTAGGACCAGTTTCCAAGTGGGCAAGAAGATATTACTTTGAGAAGTTTTGCACTTGACCTGTACTCGACCAAAGCCTAGGCATGCTGAGACCTGGATTCTATATCGTAAAAAAAAGCTCCTATGCCCCATATTCCTGGGTTCCTAGAAGGGCCTTCGACTCGTGAGCAAGCCCATCGAAATGTAGGGCCTGATTCAAAGTGGGCAAGGAGATATTACTTCTAGAAGTTTTGCACTTCACCCATGCTAGACCAAAGCCTTACCATGCTGAGACCTGGATTCTATTTAAAAAAAGAAAACCTCCTAAGTCCCATAATCTTGGGTTCTCAAAACAGCGTTCGACTCGTGAGCATGACTATCGAATTGTAGGACCTGA